TGTCTTTGATTCAAAGAGCTGCAACACCGGGACACTGTAGTGGCTCCCAGCAGCTTCTCCTGGCTTCTAAGACACATTGAGACCAATTTTCCCAGCAGAAAAAGACCTGCAGCTCCCAGTGGTTTCAGCTTGACTGGTAGATCAATACAGTCAGAAACTGGGACTATTGCTTTTGACAAACTCACTGGAGTTCTGTCAACAGCTCCACATGAAAAAAATCAGGTCTTCTGGCACAAAATGACCAAGAGGTGATAGTGGCCGTATCAGGGACTACATCTTAGAAGAATAAAATACATTTGTATTTACACGGAAGCTGTACTGGTTTTTTCACATGTGTATTTGGTGCTGTTGCTGAAAACAAAGAGGAGAGGATAGCTTACATTTCAGATCTAAAGTGGAATGCAGAAATGTTAACACTGCAAAGCAAAAGGCTACAAAGCTACTTCTATGATTTTAAATTGGGAAGCTAGTGCAAGCGTGTAAGAGCAAGACAACATTTTTCATGAGTTTTTCCAAAAAAGGCAAAAAGCACAACTACTTATTTCTGACAATTAAGCAGCTTACACAGTCTTTGTTGTACTGACACTTAAAAATGGAGTTTTCAATTATTCATACTGTAGTTCTACACCTAAAGCAGGAAAAAAGTTTAAAGTCTGTGTTCTGCAGCACAAGTAACCCTTTCAGGAGGGTTCAGTCTATTTATAATAGTGTTTCCCTTAGGAACTACCAGTTGGCAGGGTATACAGGCTTGGATTCTGCCATATTCTGTAATGCACTGTCATCCATTAGCACTCTGATCAGCCAATAATGTTAACATTAAACTTGTCGTATACACACGTTATCAGAGATAGTATTTTTTTTTCCACCAGAGATGCTGATCTCATTTAAGAACAGTTGGGAAATCAGAAGGTTGTCCATGCCCAAGGCATTGACGTGCCAGCAACTGGAGTGGGTTAAGAAGTTGCCATATAAGCACGCTTTGGTCAAGAGTTCAACAACTTCTTCCAGTTCACCAAGGTAGGGATTTATTTAAACTTCTGAACCCTCTTTGAAGCTGCTGGGAGGACTCACCCCGCCTGACCCACCAGCTCTGTTGTAGGGACAGTCGCGTTCAGAAGGGCAGCAAGATAATGCTGAGATTTCAAACTGCTCCAGTCATTTTCAAAGTGGACGTGCATCAGTGCTGTACCTGTGTCAGGTGCTTCTGGGAACATTACTCAGATTCAAACTGAGACGTGTAAGTAGGTCTAGAGGCAGCATTCACACAGAAATTAAACCGAAATCAAGCACTATGGACAAAAAAGATTTGCCTAAAACATTCAAAAACTCTACACCAATATCCTTCTGGTTTTGTAAAATGGGTATAAAAATGGCCAGCAATGAAAAACCAGACATAGATGGGGCAGATCTAGTCCAAACACAGTCCTTTCTGTCTCTCCTGTTTCTCTTCTTAAACAGTCGGTCTAAAGTAGGCTTTTATCTATAGCACAGTAACTGTCTGAAGAGAGGCTATGTCGACTTCCTCCACACACTGCTTTACCCAAGTGTTTTAACACTGTTCTGGAAGAGCCTTCTGTAAGAGAGGGGCTGTAGATCAGGTTTCATTCCAGTTAGTTACCTAATCAATACAAATAGGACTAGGACTTAATGCAGAACTCCCAGTAGATTATAATAATCACCCACAATTACTTATGAAAGCCAATCAATGACCAAGAGGTTTTATGTGTCATTTATATACCTTAAATCAAACTTCTGAAGTTAAACAATTCCTAACACGATTAGATGTTGCAGCACTAAGCAAAACAACACACAAGCAAGCTCTTCCTCAAAGGCTGACTGCAAGGGCAACCAAGGATGGAGCCAAGAGAGGACAAGCAGCCCTGAAACACAACCAGTAAGGCGAGGTGCAACAACAGAGTTGAGACAGTGGATACAGGAATGGGCATAAAAACAGTGAAATAAGCACCTATAGGTGTGTTTTCCTCCTGTTCCTTCAATGAAACAAGCTACCTTCCAGCGGTCAAATGAAAGATAAAGCCGGTAGAAGGCAAGGCCCCCAGACCTGGATCTCAGCTGTGGCAGGTAAAAGGAAAAGAAAGAGAGAGGAAGAAATTTTATTTCATGATTTCTTCCATGTTGCTCACCATGGGCAAGTCTGCAGAAACTGGAGGTTTACCATTTCTGTCAAATTATTTAGCACACAAAATACATTATGATGGGTGATTAGCAAACTCAGGCTTTCTGTCAAAATGTCATGTGTCCCTCTGTAGCTTTGTTCTGGTATTACCATTATCTATTTACTACTATAATTTTTTTTTTAGTATCTACATAACATAGTTGAATAGCTTTGCAGGCAGTGAGATCACAGTTAAAAAAAAGTTGGAAACACGCACAAGAGGCTATTCATAGAATCATAGAATCATAGAATGTTTTGGGTTGGAGGGGACCACTAGAGGTCATCGAGTCCAACCCCCCTGCAGTCAGCAGGGACACCGCCAACTAGATCAGGTTGCTCAGAGCCCCATCCAACCTGGCCTTGAATGTTTCCAGGGATGGGGCCTCCACTACCTCTCTGGGCAACCTGTTCCAGTGGTTTACCACCCTCATTGTAAAGAATTTTTTCCTTATATCTAGCCTAAACCTACCCCGATTTAGTTTAAAACCATTACCCCTTGTCCTAACGCAGCTGGCCCTACTAAAAAGGTTTTCCCCCTCTTTCCTATAGGCCCCCTTTAGGTACTGAAAGGCCGCAATCAGGTCTCCCCGCAGCCTTCTTTTCTCTAGACTGAACAAGCCCCTTTGCAGGCAGTGAGATCACAGTTAAAAAAAAGTTGGAAACACGCACAAGAGGCTATTAATTGTGCTATTTTTACTGTTCTGAAGTCCATACCATGAACAATGACTCATAAGAGCAGCAAGCCGGAGAGGCGCTTGCAAACCATACAAGCTTGTTTACTCATTTATTTGTTTGCACTGATTCATTACATTCCTTGGTGTACAGTCTATGGGACTCAAGAGGAAGCACCAGGGAGAAACCCTGTTGCCTGAGGAGCTCTTCCACCCACCATGCCCTGCCGAGACGGCGGTGGTCACGCGAGCGGTCTGGCCATAGACCTCTGATGTCCACTCCTGAGACCCAGAGGCCAGGGGAAGAGCCCCTCCATACCAATGGAGCTCACTCCCTCTGGTGGCTTCACTCAGTCTCGCTTTAGCAGCATCCGCTACAGGGTACAAAGAGCAATTAAAAGAGGCGAATTTTTTGTTTGCTTGTTCTAAGTCAAACAATAAAGCGCTGCTTTTTTTTTCCCCCCCCTGTAGTCCTGAGACGACGTTAACTTTTGGTGAGTCTATGCAATTATTTTGGAGAGGTTTGGCAAAGTTCATCATAGCATGTATTTACAAAAGCAAATTAGTTTTTCCATGCGATGCAGTGGCATTGCGGACCCAGAAAGCTATTAGAATAAGTATGAATAATAATTAAGAATACTAATATCTGCTTCACCGGTGAAACTCTTGCTATGACATTAAAAAAAATTTGTCTGCCCAGGCCTAGCCACATGTTATTTCGAGCAGGAGGTGAAGAGGAGGTTGGTTTGCTTTGCGAGCACCGGTTGTTTTTGCATAGAGCAGGGCTGATGTTTTCCTATTGCTGCCTTTGTCTTCATTTCACTGTTCTGCCTTGAGATTTTTTTTTTTTTATCCTGTCTTGCTTAGAAGCCTGGGCAGTATGTTCCCAGGTCCATATGTTGAAATCAAAACAAACAATAGATAGTCAAAACAAAGACACTGTGAGTATATCCCATTTCTAATACACGGATCATCTACCATAAAAGAGAAGAGAGTGTGTTGGTACTTTACCACATCATGTGACAGGACCCAAACATTCAACTTCAAAAGTAAAATCTCAAACACACAGAAATAGGCAGGGGCATCTTAACCACCATGGACTTTATTTTCCTTAAGGTTAGATTGGGATTAAGATTGACTCTCGTAGCTAGTATAGCTAAATGGTGGGTAATTTTGCCAGGTACAGTAACATGAATAAGCGCTGTTACTTAGACATCTGAAAATATTTGGGTGTAAAAGCCTAAAACACTGAAACAGTGCGACACTGGGTTGTAATCAGTATTTTTTCTCAAGGTAAAGTGAAACCCATGAACATACTTGACTAAACATGTCAGCTGCGAACAAATGAAAATGATGGCACTGCAAGATTAGAGAATAGCTCTATGATTCATGTTTAAGAGTGACTAATACTGAAAGAATTGGGGGAATACTCAGGAATACGGATAAGAGGAAACCACACAAAAGGCATAGGGATCAGGCTCAAAACCAAGGGACAGCCGACATGTAAATCTGAATCTAGCTACGGATACCCAAAGGCACAAGTGAGAAAGAAGAGGTATTTGAAAAAACTTGGTTTTGCAAGAGAAAACTGGGCAATAAGGGGACAGAGAGAAGTGCAAGAAATAATTAGACGCTTACAGAGTACAGACTATGTCACTTCTCCCCAAAACTGGCAGCTCTGCTTAAACATTACATATTCCCATCACACATTTACGAGCATTAAAAAGTGTACGGCATACAGAACTCTGGCACTACAGGCAGCAGGGAAAGACTGTACACTTGCACTTAAAAATTCCTATATTTACAATTGATCTTATGATAGATAAAGTCAGATGTGACATAAGAAGCCTAGTCCCTAGAAATACAGGATATCCAATATATAATGATCATATATGGTAACACTCGCTACTGCTAATTCATTTCATCTTCCTTGCCTTGACTCTTGTCAAGTCCCTGGTACAAAACAGTGTAAGGAAGATAGTTTCTTTTGTTGCAGTCTTACTTTCTGCCTTACCACGTTGTTCCTAAGACACCATGTTACCTTTAAAACGTGTACAAAATTGAAATCATGTCAGATTCTGTTACTGTCCTAGAGCCAACATTTTAATACCATGCTATTAGTTCTATATTTAATACTAAAATGGTAGCAGTACCTCTTCCGCAAAGTTAGTTTTCTTGTCCAGCATTTCTCGTAATGTCTGAAGAATTTTAATGCAGAGCTTTTCTTCTTTCTCCATTAGCTTCTTAGTGTGATTAATCAACCTTAAAGTAAAATATTAAACCTTAAAGAGCATTGCACATTGTTGCTAAGCCATACTACAATTTCTTTATGCAAAAATTGCCTGTCACTATATTTTTCCTCAAGGAAAGGAAATAAAAGTAGACAAGAGAAATCATAATTAAAAAGGAAATGGGACTTTCAAGGTGTTGTGAGTTTTTTGTGTCAATTTGCATATCTTACTGCCCATGCAGAAGGCAGAATTCTACATCCCCTTTTTAGGAGTGCTTCCAGATTAAGATCCAAACTTGCTATTTCATCCTTTCTTTATTTAAAGGTAACCATGCATTTATTTTAACCTTTATTTGAAGCTAACCAATGTTCACCGTGCACCTTGAAAACTTTAAAAGCTACAACCTTTACACCTTTCAACCTTGATGATGGTTATATTTATTATATAATTAGCAAATGGCATCCAGCCAAAAGGATCCCCAAAAACCTTAAATGGAAGCGTTCAGAAATGCAGCTATCTGGATGAAACGTAACCAGTGTTTACATTCGCACAACGACTTCACAAGACTCTTTCAAGTCAGAAAACCAGGTGGCATTTCTGACTCCAGCTAAGACTTGGGATGGGAGTTTGGGTTTTGGTCAGCTTAAGCCAATACAAGAAGCAGCCTTCCTATCTCTGTGCAGAGCAAGACCCTCCACTGGCTTGCCTCATTGCTGGAGAAATGTTTGTGAAAACAGAAGGGAGGAGGAAATCTGAAGGCCTTGGAGGTTTGGGTTTTTTTTTTGTATCAGTACCAGTGGTGGGTTATAGTGGATAGAATGTTGTTCATCAAATTACAGCCGAGGATCAGCATACAGCAGAGGCACTGTGGCCACCGATTTATGCTGAAAGATGACACCATTAATGGTCCTAAATCACAAACAGTCACCAAAAACAGGATTGGGAGGGATGACACTGCATCATCTAGACCAGTGCTCCATAACCTAACAAAACTGTTTATATTTAGATCACTGCTAAGTTAGGGCACTAATGCCATCCCAGGCTCAGTAGAGACACCATGCAGGACTCCCCCACTGGCATCTTCACCAATTTCAAACAATGCAGCTCTCAGGCCTGCAGCACTAAGAATATTTTTAAAGAGCTACACATTTATATTGGGATTCCTGCATAGCTCTGCAAAGCATTCCTTTGCCATAGAAGTTAATTAAATAAAACAGAAAACTGTTTATTGCATTACATGGGCCAGGTCCAGCAGCCCTCGACTTGATTTGATGCTGACTTTGAAAGGAGTTTGGACAGAGGGGATGGGATGGGACAAGCTCAAAATTTAACTTAATTTTTCCAAACATATGAAGTATATTGTTATAACACTACCTCTGCAGAATATGCAAAAAGCCAAGGAATCAGGAGAGCTGCCAAATGCGTTCATTTCCCCCAAGTTACCTCTGTTTAAATTACAGTTTCTCAAGGGCAGCGAGAGCATCTCACTTGAGGACTAATAAAAAAATTGCAAGACTCTATTCCAATGCACAGACTGCAAATAAAACATCTAATAATTCAACATCAGGTAAGGATGCCAGCGAAATGTATTTTTAAAAGAGCTATTGGCAGTTTAAAATAAAAATAAAAAGATTTATTTGCTTTACTAAAAAAAAAATCCAGCCCTGAGCACCCCACCCTACCTCACTATGAATTCTTGAAAATTCTACCATGGAAAGTCTAAGTTTCTGCTGTAGATTTAGAGAAGCCTAATAGCAAAAGTAGCCCATTAAGAAAACAGAAGTAGGTTCAACCTGCTAGTAGTTTTAACAAGCTACTAACACTCCATTTCTAGGCAGGTAAGGCAAGCAACCTCACTCTGTACTCCTCTCCAGACTCCTAAATTGCTGAGAAACATAAAACACGCCATGGAAGACCTCAGTTTAAGCTTTCAATATGAGCTCAGACACCTACACGCTTAAGTCACTGTTGAAAATCAGAGGTAAGTGCTATTGAAAATTTTAACTCCCGGCCATGTTTTCCGAAGAAGCAAATAGGCCTCTCCTTACACCACTTACTTGGACATGAAAGCACCACATCTTATTCTGGCATCGCTCCCCTCAGGAAAAAGAAGTTCTGGACTGTGCAGCACATCAACCAGCACCGAGAATTCAGCTTGCATCATGGGAGTGAACTGCTGCTCCAAGGAGGACACCACATCCTAGGGAAAAAGAAGAAAAATGTCATTCGTAACTATGTCTGGCCAAGAAAACTGGAAGGACGTTGTGGTGGAGTTGCACAATACTGTGCGATGGGCTATTTGACAGTCAGTAGCAAGAGCCCATGGTAACACAGGCAGCAGTAAAGCAACCTCATGCCTTTCTTCATGTCACTTCTTAAGCGGAGGAGGGTGCCCATTACCATCTACCTTGCTGTTCTCTCTCAAATTTCTCCTCTGCAGTAATGCCCACAAAACACTCGGCAACAGCCAAGACGATGGTGTGCTGGAAAAACACTGCTTGTCGTACATGGTGTTAGTGTATGACCCAAGGTGTTGCCTCCTGGATATTTAGAGCTCCTCCATTTGTCTGGGTCCTGCTGTTTTCTTAGTTCATAAACTCCCAATGTCATTTAACCACTACACGCGTAAGGTGATCTCCACCTTACAGGTATTCTCCAGTGACACAATCATCTGACATAATGGCTCCTAAAACCCCCAGTACCTCCCCTGCAGCCAAAAGAGGGCGTGTGACCGTGAAAAGGCAGAAAGGAGATCCTGCTCTGCGAACCACTTTGGGGAAAAGAACATACTTCGTACCCCTCTCTCTTGACTTTTGTAGGAGCCAAATCCAGATCACAGATCAAAAGGCCCTGCGTGTTGGCTTTACTTCGAACAGACACCAGAGAAGAGCTGAGCCCCCTTGCTCCCCCCACCTCGACGTGCAAAGGCCACTGTAATCCGGCACTAAAAATGCAATGAGCCTGGTGTCTTCCACATCTGGCACATGTTAGGTAAATGCACTACCACGACTACTGCCCAAGCTATATGCTATTTTTGTACCTGTAGTTTTTCTATTATGTTCCTGTAATCCCAGGCAGGCCCACCAAGAGCTTCTTTAAAACGAGGTCCGCTGCGGGCTGACATTCTCCACCCCATAGCTGCCCTCTGCACCATGTTAGAATGACTCTTCATGAACAAGGTGTTGACCTGGCTGTCCAAATCCACGGGAATTGCAATCCCACGGTTTTTTGCTTTAATGGGAAGAAAAAAAAAAAAAGAAATTTACAGCAGCAAAAACTTGAAAATCTTATGAAGATAATGGCATGCTAAATCTTCATACTCTTGAAGTTAAGAGGCAAGGGGATCTCACATCAACAGGTTTTAAAAATAAGGATCAAAAACCTATGCTGGTAGAAATCAGCCGTAATCTAGTTCAAGAAAGCAAGCTGCACTTCTTTAAATGAGAGGAGGATCATTTCCAGCATATATTTTCATAGCTACAGATGTTTATTTTTTAAAACAGAATAATTTTTTTACTAACTTAAAAACAGATGCAGAAATATTAATAAGAGTAACAAAAAGAGTATGCATTATTTCAACAGCTAGTTTTACTCTAGTCAGAAGTAAATGAAAAAATTCTTCTTTCGAGTGGACATATGCACATCTAGCCAATTTATCCCAAGTGCAATTTGTTGCTTTTCTGCGTATTTCTCTTGTGAAGACCTTGAGAAACCAAGTGCATACAAATGAAATTTGAAAAACACTGTCTCCTCTCCTCTCTCCCTTCAGCTCCTACACAGCCAGGGCTGTTAAACCATGGGGTTCCTGGATGCCACTGCAACATGACCAATAGTTAATAAACATGCGATAGTTTAACTGACAGTTAAACAAATGTAACCAATAATTTTAAAAATGCAATTTTTTTTTTTAGACTTGAGGGGCAGGAGGAGACAAAAGAGAGAATATCCGAGAAATAAAACCTGAGGCAAGACTTGCATAAATTCTTACAGGGCATCCACTATTAAACCTCCATTGCATCCTGAACTGTCATTTGAAAAGGAAGTTTGAAAGACAATGTTAGAAGGTATCTGCCCTCTCCTCCACAAAAGCCTTTGTGTGAGCTGCATCTCTCCATTCCACTGGAGATCAGTGACATTCTTCTACGGCTCAGCATGAGTCATCTGAAATTCAACAGATAAACAAGGGATCGATGCAGTGATATCTGTTTGAAAGATTAAGTCACATTCCAGGGATTAGGCTTTGTATTCTACGCCATTTCACTTAACTTCCACGGCACAGTTTATGTTTAGTGAAAACTTAGAAGTAAAATGAAGAAGCAGTTCTGGTTCGTTTGTAATAATGACTAATAATAACTAATTTTTCAGCTTTCCTTACTGGCACAAGGTGAACTTTTTAAGAAGCGTTAGCCCGTATTAAAACAGATCTGCACAACGTTCCTCCGAGGCGTTTCCCCACCATTCTGCACTAACATGCACGCTTTCCACAGAAGCGGTAGGCATCCAAAATACCTCCAAAAAAATCCAAAAACCCCTCCCTCCCAGTTCTTAAAACATAAACAACTTCAAGTCCTGAACTTGTGAAGTCAACAGATGCCCTTCTTTCCTAAGCAGCCTATGCATCAAACCCCACGGGAGCACGTGCGAGCAGGGCGCCCGGTGTACTGCTCCAATGAATGAAGGCTCATGTGCTGCCAAGCGCAGTGAGTCACAGATCCCAGGCAGAAGCTTTCTCTTCCCCCAAATACTATACCGTAACGGCAGCATTTGTTATAAACCTAAATTTGGCTGTGACACCTCAACCCCCAATCTCACAGGCTATGGGAAGAGGGCTCTGTCACGTGTGCCCTCATCTCTTTAATAGCTCCCATGGGCGCAGGGCACTCTCCTCTCTTCCCACTGCAAGGGTGTATCCTGCTGCAGGACCAGGGCCTCCACCTGCGGATTAGGCTGTTTATCTGGGATGGGAGAACAAGCTCTGATTCTATTTCTGGTAGGCACTTTCTTTTCAACAGTTTGCCATAGGGAATTAAAAAAAAAAATAATTTCTTAGGTCAAGATGGGAAGACACATTTCTCCACAACCGTATGTGAATCCTCAGCAGCTGATGCCCAGCAGTTTCCACACTGGCGATTGACTTTTCCTTTCCACTCTCTATTTGTTTTGAAGGCAAGGTTCCTGATTATCATGAGGAAAATACCATGTATGGCTGGCCATTATTTCTAATGACTGTTTTTCCATATTATTTGACGGGGTTATTTTTCACAACACATTTGCCCCGTTGCTGCTTACTTTAATACAGAAGTCCATTAAAGTTCTGCCACTGTGGGTAGGGTGCTGCAGCCTATTAATCCAATTTATTGTGTCCTAATGTCAATCACTGGAATGTTATCGGACAATGGTCACTTCTCAGTTAAGTGGTATGTATGCAGAATCCTGATATATCCAGGAATAAATTTAGCAATGGGGAGCATGCTGTTCAGAGGAAAATCCAGACTTCTGCAGTCCTATAGATGCCATTTGAAGTTAACAACTTCCATCAGTGTCTGAGGAGCAGTCAAGGACTATGATTGTTCAAAGAGTTGCAGCTAATTAAAACTATCACAAAGAAAACCAGAGAGAGAGGAAAAAAAATACTTCTTTGTTTTGAACAGTTCTTATATGTATAATTCCATTTGTAATTAAGATTTGTATTGGTTGTCAAAGGGCACTGTTGAAGTCTAAGCTATAAACAAAGCCTTTGTCTTCTTATTTCTTTGCAGCTTGTAGAAAGTTTATCTTTCATTTGTTTCACATTTCATTATTTAAAACAACATGAAACATATTTTTACATTTTGGAAAGCTGATGAACAAATGTGAACATAAATATTTATTTTTAATTTAGGCGTTGTAGGCTGCTTTTCTCTTCAAAATGTGTCAATCTCCCTTAAAGTATGAACATAAAATATTTAAAAGCATGTTTGTTTTTGTTCCACTTAGAAATACTTTTGGACAGCACTCAAACTTGCAAAGTAGGGTTAGAGCTGGTAGACAAAGGAGCTAGGAGGGGGTAAAATTGTGTCTCTCATCTGACTGGTGAACTTGGGAAAAAAAGCGTGCTACTGTGGCTGTATATAAACTGGTACCATAGGTATCAAGCAGGTTACCTACCCAGGATGGACTAGAACATGCCTTCAGCTGAGGTAAATTCTGCCTTGCCATGGAGGGCAATAGCACCGGCTTCTGTACTGCCCGATTCCTACCTAGGGCACCCCACACAGGGCTAAGTACACTGTTTTGCCAGTCCCAGAGGAAATGCAATTTGCTGGGAAAGCTTTGGCACGCCTAACTCTCCGTCTCCTGCTCCCAATCCTGCTATCAGCCATAGCCGCAGTTGAGCGAAGACAAGCAAGCAAACGGCACCCATGGAAATAGAAAGCATCCCGGTGTCGCCAGTGCAGCCAGGCCACAGTAAAATGTTCTGCTCCGTGCTGGATGCTTCTGTGTGTATCCAAGTGCATCCGCAGCTTTCCTCTCCTTTACTGTTTAAGCTATGAAAAAGTACTCTTGAGAGAGGGACTCAAAAGAAAAGGGCAACATTAATGTCAAGAATCAAGTAGCTGAAAAAATCAAGCCGCTCTCTACGAGTGAGCTGGACTCCACCGAAGTCCCAAGAGCATGGGCCAGCTGCTAACAGAAGGGCTGAAATGGGCTGGCTGAGATGTATTTTGTTAAATTACCCGCATGTAGTTCCCTTCACGGAAGCACAGAAATTGGAAGTAAAATGACCTATTTCAGGAATGCTTGCTGAAGCGCTGTCCTTTCGCTATCCTGCCTACCTGAGTCTTAGGAGCAATTTAGTACCAAGGATTTCCAGGAAGCCGCCCTGGCCTGTAATTTTCCTTGGAAGCCCATTCTTCAGAGTAATCTAACTTGCCATAAGGAAGCTCGCCGTTCTCCTTGATATTCCCACCCAGTGCTCCCTAATTTGAAATTTCACTCCCTTAGCTTCTGTAGTATTTACAAAATACAACAGTATTTGGTGGCCTCACAGCTATTTAGCATACTTTGCACTACCCATCCCTAGTGCGGGTTTTCCGGGGGACACGCGGGCATTTCATCATCCCTTAGAGAGCCTCAAGGGGGAGTGTGATGGGCAATCTGGGCCACAAAAAAGCCACGGCTGTACCTGCCTGTGAAGCCTTTACTATTCTTGCTATTTACACCCCTCCGGTAGTTGCAGACAGCTGTATCATGTTCTCCCACACTTCCCAGTTGTCACTTAATGGAGCGATGCATATTTAGTTCAATTAATTTTGCTCCATAAATCAGTCCCTCCAGCTCCTTAATCATTTACTGACTGCTTAACAAATGCATTTGGATGGAAAGACACTAATGCTAGCGACAGCAAGACTTTTTAAGGGAAATAAAAGCTTTGTGTAGACAAGACACAAGCCTGCCAATCTTGTACCCTTCACTTGGATGTTTTTTTCCAACAGAAAATCTACGCTTCAAATATTTATCAGCCTGTAAAAAGATCATCATTGAATTTTTCTTGCAATTAGGCAAACACAAACAGTTAAAATAGAATAAAATATGTGCTTCATCTGAAATGTATTCTTCTTGCTGTCAAAAAAGTAACAACAGGATAATTATTTTATTTGAACTAAAAATTGAAAATGAAGGTCTAGCTTTTTATAAAATGGAAAAAAGATTTCAAAACTCAAATAGGAAGTGAAATAAAGTATTTTCAGGGCTGAAAAAATTGTTATAGGCAAGTTCATCTACGTGGACATTAAAATACGTACAGTAATTCCAAAGAAGCAATAAAACATAATCTAGATTTTATGTTTAATGTTTCCTGTTTGTAATTTGTCAGGGAAAAGGAAAGGGTTTTAGAGGATATAAAAGCATGGTCAAGAAGCACCACACGAGAGTTTTTTGATTCTGCACAAAGGGGTATTGGTGAGCTGAAATTGGGGAATAAACAGTCAACTAGAAAGGACTTCACTACTGCTTTAGACCATCTGCTCTCTGTTACGGACAACCCATCTTCTTTAATATCTTTTGAAAAAGTGTATCGAGCCCCATTTGAAACGAAGCTAGCTTTTCTGCCGTCCCTCCTCCCTCCATTTTCTCTTGGCCCATTGACCAAGGACATCCTTCCAAAGTTGGTTCCAAACCTCTGATTTACAACCTAAATTTACTTAGGTTATTTACAGCCTAGTGTAATTTATGTCCAGTTGTTTTTGGGTCAGCGCTGTCCTTTAGCTTAAATGTCTCTTCTTCGTGACTGTTTATCTTCCCAAGTACTTTTAAAGAGCAACAACACAGGCCTTTGTTTTGCTAGGCAAAGCACGTGGGGCTCCTGTAGTCTCCTCTTGTAACACAGTTCTCCTTTCCCCCCACCATCACAGCAGTGCTTCTTCCTCTGTACGCATTCCAGTTTTGAGTTTACACAATAGCAATCTTACAGGACTCACCTCCAATTTTGTAGGATGGAAACAAGGATTCTCCTTTTGCTTCTCCTGCACAGCATCCTAGAGTATAATCTGATCATGACTAATGTAATTTGGCTTGCTAATAGATTTTTTTTAAAGGGTCTGCCAAGAGAAATAGTCTAACAAAATGCAGGTCCCTATCTGCCACTGTTAACTCATCTGGGAAATTCCAATTATTTCATTATTGGTGGTAACAGCGCAGCCATACACATACTACATCCTTGGGATACACACACAGTATCAGAGGGAAGATGCAATTTGTAAAAACGTAAGGGAGAAAGCGAAGAGAGACAAACGTATAATGCAACTAGATTCAGCCTTCTAACAGATAAGAAAACCGATGCCCGGGGGCGAAGATGTAAGAATCAGCACTTAATTAAGAAGCAAAGACAGTTCTTTGCATGGGTCCTGAAAGATGCGTCATCCCTGGGAGAAAGACCCTGCTCCAATACAATTTAAGATATACAGTCCTGATCTTTAGTTGTGAAGACAGATGACACTCCTCAATTTTTCCAATATGGAAAGACAGTAGATCGTTTAATATCCAAATTTTGAGACTGGATTCCACTCTTCTCAATCCTGCCAAGATTATAAGATGTAGGAACTGAAAATCCTTTGATAATGAATTAATTTGAAATAAATTAAACTGTTAGATGTCTTAGTTCCTCTGTTTTCACAAAGACCAGGGGACCTTTTAAACATTTTTCATTTGTAGCTATTTTACCAGTGAGATGGGAGCTGTTTTGATCATTCATTTTTTGGACTATATTTTCAAACAAATGCTCAGTCCCACCTAATAATAGAGAAAAAGCAAAAGTGATGTATGTATAATGTGTTAATTCTCATTACTGTGATGATCTGCTTCAGATATCCATCAGAACAAGACACATTAACACACATATATTATTTGGTAAACGTTTCTATTCATGCCAGGTAGCCAAATGTTTACCGGGCAATAAAAACCTGACACATGTTGGTATCTGTGTGTTCCAAATCTCCTGGGGCCACAGAGGGGTCTGCTGAAGAAGAGAAGCGAGCCTCTATGCTTCTTGCTGAACTGGAGGCAGACAACTGCCTGGAGACGAAGCAGCAAGTGAAGCTTGAAAAGCTTATGAAGTTTTTCCCTAGTGGTCAAGTGAGGTTGAAGTACCAGGGTTATAAGAAATTAGCTTTTGCAACATATCCTTTTGTTGACCTGGAAGATAAGGCACATTCTTACAGTGCTCATAAGAAGACAGATGTAATGATCTTAAGCTCTTGAGGCAATACTGACATCCACCTGCCAGTAACAAACTAGTAAGCATGGAGCAGAATGTATGTTGCTTAAACTTTCTCTGAAATGGGTCTTTTAAACATGCATTATTATATGGAGCTTTGATATCTTGGGAAATCTGCGTATGATCTTTCTTCCTCCTGAGATTCATTTCTAAATCCAGGGCTATGACACCAAAAAAAAAAAAATAAAAAATCATGTTTGTTCTTTCAACTCTATACTACATTTATTTGCCATCAAAAGTCTTTGGTCCCTGCTGTAAATCTGTCTAATACTCTCTCTCTCTGATATAGGCAAAATCTTTCTAGAGGTTGTTTTTTTTTTTTTTTTTTTAAACCCTGCTGTGAAACATGAAGGCCCTAACATTAAAGCTGTCAGACTCTCAAGTAAAAAAAAAAAAAAAAAAGCAGAAGAGTGCTCACAGATGCCTAGCCAAAATCCAAACCTAGTCCACATACACAGCCAGCAAGAGAGGCCAAAAAAGGCTGCCCTGTTTGTATTACAGAAGAAACCTCTGCCTTCTCAAAGAGAAGCACCATTTTGTGCAGTGGAACACCCAATAGAGAAAGGCACCGGGCATGCACTTGTAATCACAAAAGGGCCTCGATTTTAAAAGCCTCCAGTACCCCCAGCTGGGACAGTTTTTCCAAAGCTTTCAGCAGAGCAGAGCAGGCCTACTCAATTAGCCCGGGCAAGGCACGTTTGGCATCGTGCCTAAAAATACTGAGTATCACTGGTGGTTAAAATCTCTGCTAGCCAGCCAAACTTTTGCACAGGGGTGTTTGTTAAAAGCTCTGCTTCCGCTTCTTCACTGGCTAACTTGCTCTTTGGGGAAACCCCCCCTCACCTGTTCCCTTATACTCAGACCTGTAGGACAGCACAAGAGCATGCTTATAAAAAAACCCAACTGTAAACCATCCCCATAAAACAATCATAGCATCATAGAATTGTTTAGGTTGGAAAAAGACCTTTAAGATCATCAAGTCCAACCATTAACCTAACACTGCCATCCCACCATGTCCCTAAGCACCTTGTCTGCCTGTCTTTTAAATACCTCCAGGGATGCGGACTCTTCCCTGGGCAGCCCGTTCCAATGCTTGACAACCCTTTCAGTGAAAAAAATTTTCCTATAGAATCACAGAATTGTTTAGGTTGGAAAAGACCTTTAAGATCATCAAGTCCAACCGTTAACCTAACACTGAAAAAGGACTGAAACAAAAGAGCAGAGGTAGACATTAGATTCACCAAAGAGGGAACCAAGTCGCATGTCTGAAGAAAACTCCAGACATCAGCCGTGCCTTGCTATTTGGGCTTTCCCCTTGGCTCCCCCAGGAACGAGAGGCACACAGAAGATTACCTACCAAAGACAGCCAGCCCTTTCACCTGCTGGTGCACCTGGCCGAAAAGCTGGATCTGTCAGCCCCGTTATGGTGGCCCACGCTTCCCCCGTCAGGCTGCTACAGGAACGAGTTCGGCTTGGCTGTCTCGGCACTATGCTCAAGCGTCTCCAAATACCCTCATCTCAGTGAGATAACACAGCGACCTCTCTGGGCTAGAATTTGATTTTAGGTGTAGCTCTACAGAAATGAAGACACCGAGCTGTCGAGAAGCACACACAGGGCATACTCCATCTCAAAATATTCTCACCTGCCCTACTTCTTCCCCCTTTCTGCAAAGGCAGCAATTTACTGATGACTCTTTCCAGAACTGCCGCAGAAGAGCGGAGATGTAAGTGTTAAACACACAGACAAGGATTTGTAGGGCTAGAACTTTATTTGAGACTGCAGTAGCTGTAGCATAAAAGAAATAAAACGTCTTCAACTTCCAAATTTCTCTTGCCAGATGGATCCATAATTAAATCATTTGCACAACAAATAAAACAATTGAAGGTTGCTAAGTTTTTAGGTAACTGCTTATTCTCATCCACACAAAAAGTTAATGAGATGTTTTGGCTAAAATGTTAAATGATACTCCCGTAAAGCTACTCCAAAATCTAAATTTAGACAGATTGTTACAATGCCACAGATGCTGCAGATGGTACAGGGACCCTCTCATATTGTATTATCATTATTTACTAAAACATTTTAAAAATTGCATCAACAATAGAATTTAGCCAGTTTCTATGTATCTCTGCCTCTACTCAGTTTTCATTCACGCTGAGCATGAACCTTATTCTAAAAGTAATCAGAATGACTGAATTTTGCCAGCCTTAGCTATGTTCTGGTGAAGAATCTTCTTTATTTTAGGATAAGAAGTTTTAAATCTTCCACTTTAACGTGGTATTTGAATTTATCTGAAAGCACATAACTTATTAGCTGCCCTGAGGACCAAATCTGGTCTTGGTGCCAGGGCAAGGCAACATTCCCCTAACAAGGCTGACTGTGTAACAGCAGTAAATGAGTGGGCCTGATGGTGAGGAGTAAGCAGAGAAGCTGTGGAGTGGCACAGTTGCGGTTTCCATCCCTAGCTCCCTGATGGGACAAAACCTGAGTGAGCCCAGGACCGTGACTGACGATAACCAATGCATCTCCCAGGAACTGAGGGGAAAAATGATGGGTGTTTCCCGGTGCACAATTTGCTATGTGTCACTGCTTGCAACAGCTTGTGCAAACGTAGCCCAGCACGACTAGAAATGCCCAGGTTTTCTCATAGCTTATGTTGTGTTTTAATACCGTAACGTGCTTGAGGTAAAGTTCAACCATTGCTCACTTAGCAAACATCTCTCTGACCTATGGGTTACACTTAACAACCCTATTTGATGGGACAGATTTGAATGGGTTATAAAAGGAAGGAGGAAGAGTTTAGCCTCAGAAAGTGGGATTTCTGAAATCACCACCATCACAATTTCAGGGTGATAGAGTCAAATTAAAAACTATTCGACCCCTAAGTAAGTCTGATCTTAAAACACAGAGAACAATAAAATAATGAAAGTAAAACCTGGCACTTACCCACTTCAGCCAAAGTCTTGATACATGACTCCACTGAGGCTTTCTGCGTTGGGTTTGGCCAGGTACAGTTGTAAATTCTAAAAGCAGACTGCAGCAGCTGAATAAAAACAGGCTGGTGCGTCTGAAAACAGAAAGATAAACATGGCACATTACCCTGCAGAATCTCGTCACAACTGCCCTAGGGTCTGACACAACGTAAACCACATGCCAGGGGTTTTCAGCTTGTAGACTCAAGTTACAACTCCATTAAATTCTCTTTGCTCTTCAGGACTGGAGGGAACAGTAATCAATGCTGCACCCCTAAAAAGGCCAAATCATGCAATTTTTCCTCAGATGCCACTGATATCAAGCAAACACAGTAGAGAGCAGAAGAACGGAGGAGCCTTCCCAGTTCTCAGGTATGTGTCCCTTTTGTCATAGGACACGGCATTTTTCTCATACAAATACAAAGACAGAGCATTATTCTGCAAGTATGCCCCCTCCAATGAATTTACAAGAGCCAGGAGTAAATCTGATTGTACTGTCTACTGGTTCAGAGCTTAAGTGATAAAAATTAAGAGTAAGTGTTTCAAAGAGGAATTAAGCTGCTAGCCAGTGGCATGAGAGGGGACAGAGAAATTAAAGGAGGATGTAAAGATACAGCATTCCTATCTGGGTAGCAGAAGGTATCTCATTAACGGTCTGAATAACATATTTGTCTCTGTCTCTTTTCCTTACCTGGAGGCTGGTGCTGTTATCTGAAAATGGCGAATTGAAGAAGCCACTCACAATGTTCATTACCGGCTCGGTGACATATTTCTCCAGAGATGTGTCTGCATGTTTACGATCTGTGGTTGTGTTACAAACCTTCAGGGAAGGAGGAGGAAAAGAATGAGATTTTAGTTCTTTTAAATAAGCAAGCCTTACTATTTTGTATTTATTACAACACGTGTAATATTTCTTCTTAATACAAACCCAAATGGTTTTTACACAAAATCTATCAGTGCTAACTATCCTAGAGTTCAAGCTGTATTTGTGATAGCTTATCTTTCTTCTTGGAGGTCCACATTGTCTTTTGAATACCCTTCTCTTCTGAACTAGCTCTTTCCAGTTGGTTGTCTATTCCTTCCCACACGGTGAACGAAGATCCCCCTAAATCAGCACATTGCATGCCACTTACACATTTAGACAGATTCGAAAAGAAAATGGACCTTTCCTCCCATTGCAGGGCTGGTTGGAAGAGGCTTTAGAGATGAGACATGAACACCTCAGGTTAGAGAGATTTCATGTAATGTTTGACTCCTCTCTACAATCAATCACCACAAATGGGTGGCGAAGGTGAAGCTCATTTGCAGGGAAAATGTTTAAAAAAGAGGGAAAGAAAGGAAATAGCATAGTCAATACCAACAGCCTTTAGGATTGTAAACTGTAAGACAGGCAGCATTACTTAGGAAAGCCACATGGGGAAAATACAGAAGACAAGCTAAAAACAATGAAAGAAGAGAATGGATGGTACTGGGACAACTCTGGAGCACAGAAGGATGATTAAGTGGTGGGAGGATGTGGGAAGATTTGTACAAAAGTTTCCTGAAGACACCCTTTGGTACAACACTAAAAGTTTGTTGCTGCATAAAGATGTCATGCTTAAAGAAAGCAAAAAATTACTGAGGTGGATTGCATCCTTCAGCATTTCTTTACTTCTTTTCAAATGGGTGAACATCTATACAGGGTCACATTGACTTTGCATATGTCAGTGTGAAGAGTACTAAAAGGAGCCCACTGAGAGCCCAACGGTGAGAAAGGCAAGACTGGACAAATAAGAAGTACGGACTGTAGTCATACTACCTCTTCAACAGCCTTTAAATAAGCAGTTCTAGTCATGTTTAACAAGAAATGAAAGGCAAAGCTGTTCTCTCTTTCACCTACGCAAGCCACAGACTACTGTAATGTTCTAGGGAATCCATGTGAGAACAGAATTTATTTTGTTTACAGCCTTTGCATTACTATCTGAGCATTTAACACACAGTCATGAACCTGTGCAGTGCATACTTCCCATTACATCGCTTTACGGAGGGGGAACTGAGTCCGGAGAAGCTGAGCAAATTGCTTAATTCCGCTTAAGGTCACAGAGAAAAGTTGGTGACAGAAGCAGAAAGATAAGCCCCAGCACCTGCATCTCAGGCAGGGCAAACGCGCTCCCTAATTGCACAGTGCCGCTGCCGCACTCGGGCACGACAAGACGGCAATTTCACTGGGAGCGTTTTAAGGAAGGTCACTGATGTGACATCCAAAAGCACCCATGTTCAGGGGAAGATATAGCTCACGGGAACACAAAAGCATTTTGAGTCGGACACGCAGGCACTGTCATGTGGTAGGCAGAGGAATAACCAAATAAAACTTGAGACCTACGGAAACGAGGCATCTTGAGGAGCTTTGCTTGTCTGCTTTTCTAAAATCTGTCAGATAAACAAGTCATGCCCCCACGTAGTGCATTTTTTATCACCTCAGGAAAGGAAATATTTTGGTCACAGAAGCTAAACAGAAATAGCAAATTCTTCAGCCCTTCAGTTTTGGGAGGAGTATGACACCACCACCATCACCCTGAATCCTTATGGAGGTAACAAAGATTCGGTTAATAATCCAAACTTTTTCAAAAAAAAAAAAAAAAAAAAAAAAAGAAAAGATTGTGGAACTAAAAAGCTCTTGAAGTTCTGCTTTTAATTAATCTGCATGCCAATTTTGTCTGAAACCAGTAGCTCTGAGGCTCAGTGCTCCTGGTCCCAACAGGAAGACAGGGAGCAGTGCGGTGCTAGCATGGTGAATTCAGAAATCACCAAAACTAAAGTCCAAAACGCTTTTAAGCTTTCCCCTTCACGTGTCTAAAAAGCAGAGCCATATGTGGGGATGCCACTCTGCTCCAATACTGGTCTGAAAAATTCCCAGCACAGAAGGAATTCAGAAATCCTCTCATTTGTTCTTATCCCTCTGCCCTTCGGGGACTGAAAAAATGTTTCCCTGTGGAAGAAAAAACCTGAAATGCATGAAACGGAGAGATGAAGATTGAGAAAGCAGTGTTTAAAAACCCCCTTAAGAGGCTTTGGGACCGAAACTCACATGAATAACACTTCAAAAATTCTGCAGAGAAAGCCAGGATGACTTTACAGCTGTCAGATCCTGGCTCTTTCTTTAATCCTGCTCAGAGTACAGCTGCTGACTTACAGGCTGGGCCACACGCAGGAAAGGGAAGCCTTTCCTCCGGCAGCACCCACTTTGCTCAGCGCAACGCTTCAAGTCACCCACGGGAGAAAGTAGGTTGGCAGAAGCTGTAGAAACAGGGTGTCTTTGAAAGCGCGACTGCTTTTGGCAAACTGAATTTATACATGAATCCGCCTCATGCCTGCTTTGCAATGTATCACGTTGTTGAAAGAGAATGACAGCTGGGGACTAAATATTTCCTTCCTGGATCCAGAAACAGATAAAAAACAAAAAATTGGTTTCTTTTTTTTTTTTTTTTTTTTTTAATAAAAAAGGAAAGAATCCAACCTGAGGATAACACTCTCCATCTTTCACCTTCGTGCTCTCTAATAACAGACTCGGACTCAAAGCTCACAAACTCACCCACTGACAGGCATCTGTAGCAGCTAAAAGAAAAGCATTTCCCCCTTCCCCCACGCAAAAGCATCCCTTTTAGCTCGCTGGAACACAGAGGATCAAAGGGCTCTTTTTCTAAATGCTTTGAAAGCTATTGTGCCATCTTTCATGAGGCTGACAGCATTCTAACTATCCTGATAGCTACATAACGCTGATGTATTTATAACACATGGGCTCTTGCCTGGGCCCCAGAAAACCAAACCTGAACAAATACACTGAATAACCCGGAAGGTACAGGCTACCCACGGGGACCTCGCTGAAGAGCGGGGCAGGCCAGAGCACTTCTGACATGCTCTTGTAGCCCTGAACCGGGAAATTAAAAGGACTAATTAGGCACCTGCCCCAAGGGCTTTGCAGGAGAGCAAGATCAACCTGCATTTTGCCATTCAGTGCCAACAGCACACGCACAAAATACAGCACTAATAATACACTCGCTCTTCACCTCCGAAGACCTGGAGTCTAATTTCTCTTAGGAGAAGGGTATGAGAAAACAAGCTCAGTGGTCACCAGCATCAGGACAACTCTACATTATTTGGCACGGTGCGGTTTGTCCCCAGGCTCGTGAAGGGAACTGTGGACAAAGCCCTCCTTCTACAGCTCTGCCTCTAGTCCAAGGGCAAAGGAAATTGGTCACATTCAAGGGCTAGGGAGGGTAGTCAGTTTGGAGGGTCAGGGCCAAGACGTATCAGGAAAGGGCAACTCAGAAAGGGAATTAAACAGGAGAAAATACTTCTTGGGAAAAAAAAAAGCAAGGTTAAAAATCAGAATCCTGCTTCAAGAGGGTTTCTGATCTTAATTTTCAAACAAGCTTAGTTTGTCCAGAAGGGCTTTCACTGTAGAATGCGACCACAGAGACAAGACGCCAAGAAGGCCAATGGCATCCTGGCTTGTATCAGGAATAGTGTGACCAGCAGGAGTAGGGAAGTGATCGTGCCCCTGTACTCAGTGCTGGTGAGGCCGCACCTTGAATACAGTGTTCAGTTTTGGGCCCCTCACTACAAGAAAGACGTTGCGTTGCTGGAACATGTCCAAAGGAGAGCCACAAAGCTGGTGAGGGGTCTGGAGCACAAGTCTGAGGAGAGTGACTGAGGGAACTGGGGTTGTTCAGTCTGGAGAAGAGGAGGCTGAGGGGAGACCTTATCACCCTCTACAACTGCCTGACAGGAGGCTGTAGCAAGGCGGGGATCGGCCTCTTCTCCCTGGTAATGGGCGATAGGACAAGGGGGAATGGTCTGAAGTTGCACCAGGGCAGGTTTAGGTTGGACATTAGGAAAAATTTCTCCACAGAAAGGGTTGTCAGGCTCTGGACTGGGCTGCCCAGGGAGGTGGTCAAGTCCCCATCCCTGGAGGTATTTAAAAGAATGATAGATGAGGTGCTTAGGGACATGGTTTAGCGGTGGGATGGCAGGGTTAGGTTAACAGTTGGACTTTATGATCTTTTCCAACCTAGACGATTCTATGATTCTAAGACAAACAGCAGGGAAACAGGGTTTGCACAGGTCCCATTACTGCTGGAAATGGCTACCACCAAAAAAAAGAGAGCACCAACATACCTGCCTTAGCCTGTTCCCAGGAAAAAAAAAGAAAAAAACCCAACCATAAGTTCTCTATTTCACAGAGAAATGGACAGGTCCCAGTGCCTATCATATAGCACAAGTCTTTGCACTCATTCTTCTTTTGGCCATAATTCATGGTGTTTTTTCCCAGTAAGTTTCAAATAAATTATTTTGTGGCGCACTATTTCTTTGGGGTAGATGTCTGCTGCAGGACTGAATTGAATTTACCTTTTTTTCTTTAATTTCAACAAAATGAAGAATGCAAGGAGTGAAAAGTTAAGGATTATGAAACGTAATGGGCCATTCTGAAAGACCACAGCTCTACACCTGCCTTTCGCATCAGCACTGAGAATGGAGTGGCAGTAGAAAAAAGGACAAAAACAGGCCAAAGTGAGAATAAAGAAGGAACATGAGCCAAAGAACTTCTTGATACCTGATCCTCCCTGTACTAACAGAGTAAAGCAAGAGGATTACAGATATGGGTTTTTTTTTTTAGTCACTGCCATAATGATATGTAACACACGCTCCCAGAAGATGTACACAGACTCTCAACCCTGTACATACATCCAATTTATTTTTCTGGGAGAAAAGAGAAAGGAACATGCGTTCCAAGATGTCATTTTAGAAGGAGAAGTCTGCTAGTAATTAGCAAGTTAAATTATGATAAATAACATAGAAATGACTGTTAAAAAAACCCCAAAACAAACCCACACCTGTTCTGTTGTCAACTTTGAAAAATAAAGTCAATAGAAGTTCACCAAAAAAAGTTATTGCCAGTTCAGTGGCCACCCATGACTATACCGTAATACTTAACATCTCATGAAGCTTACCCTTGCCATATCAACAAGGAAATTCTCAAATAACTTCCAAATATGGTTACTGGCATAGATTTCTTTCATTTCCACTTCGGTGTCCACATAACAGTGGTTAACAAAATTAACATAGGCTATCTTCACCTGCAGGAACAGCAAAAACACAAACACTATGAAATGGAACAGTAAAAACCATTAACGTGATGTTTTCTAGCTGCAAAAATAGGGAACAATAAAGATGACCCTTCCAGTACCAACAAACACTAATAACAGTAATAATGCATATGTTCAGTTCTCAAGATTTAAGAAGCACAGCAACACATGTATTAATGTACTTACTGAAAGATCACATAAAGAAAAAATTGAAAGGCTTTCCAAACATTCTTACTCCGACGACAAAACCCCCACAAAACAAACCAATAATAAATCTGATATTTAAATGCTATTAAGACTACAAGGGCCTGGCTCCAAAGCCAGGAGCTGTCAAAACACAGGACACCCCTGCACTTGCTGGTTGACTGCTGTGGGTTGATGCCTTGTGACAGGCTTGCCAAATATAAAAAAAAAATTCTTTAGCAGAGCTGGGCCTGTAATCCCTACATCCCCCCAATCCTAAGGCAGTGCTTGCATTTGGGGTGGGTGTAACTCAGATCTAAATGGAAGAGAAAGGTTGTGCAGCACTGGGACTGAGCCACAGCAGCACAGGGCTTAACAGGAGGACCACAATCTCACTCCTCTCCTGCATTACAAGTTTGCACGTGCACACCATAAAAATGGATACCAAGTGCTGGAAATGTATAGATTAAATATAAACATATGCAGATACACTGAAAATTTCTTGTCGTGGTCAAAGGATAGGAGATAGTTGCATATGTTGAATGCAGTCAGGAGAAAACTCATGTCAGACTTTTAGGTTTCATTTGTTTGGGCTTTTTTTTCAACTAGCATATGTTGAAATTAATGTTAGGTGGAACTTTTGAGAAAAGCAAACATTTTTCTTTTTAAGAAAAGAATCAGTTGATCACAAGGGGACTTTTTCATGGCACGGAGGGAGTCTTTACTTCTGCAGGTCCCAGTTCTGTTGATATGAGCCACATTTTATCACTAGATAGCCTGCAGAAATCCGTCCAACCAATACACGGGGCCAGAGAAAGCTCCTTGCAAAGACTTGTGAAAAGATTTCTTTTGATCACATCAGGTTTGGTGTAAAACAACATTCCCCTTCAAATCAACATGAGGTATCACAGCCCTGCTGAAGCATGACCAGTAGTAGCTGCAGAATTGGGCCTCGATATGCAGTGAAGAAAAATATTTGCTGGACTGCAGTTGAATTTAATAAAACAAGACTTCACCCAAAACTCCCACTGACTCCAGCATGGCCAGAATATTACCCATCATTTCCAACAAATTCAGGCAGCGGCAAAACATTGGCTTGACAAACCACTCAGCTGAATCTTTGCAGCTACAGCCAGAAGTTATCAGAGCATTAAACTCTCTGAGTGGCTGGGCAAACCCAGGAAAACAAAACAAGGTGTCTGCCCCAAAAAGCTGACAATCAAAGCATAAGGGACAAGGAATTTTTAAGAAAACACTGGCTAGCCTTTCTCACTTAGTCACCTTAATAAACACCACCTTTTCCCAGCCCATTTTCTGTGCAAATATTCAACTTGTTGGTATGTTATAAACAACACAACATTTTCTGAGTTTCTAAAAATGGTAAGTCTGCTTGCTCATTCAGTGAGTCTTACCTCAGGTATGCAGTCATCGTGGGTTACCACTCTCACTATGTCATCCAGTGGCAGAAGTGAATTGCACTTGATCTCTGTGTATACGTTCTTGCCTTCTGTACAAGCCGCTAGCAATTCCACTAGAGTGATGTGATATGCTAAGGGTCCGCTCTCGTCTGCTTGATCTCGCTCTGAACACATCATTTGGAGTAGGACTGGAAACGATGCTCTGTCATTGTAGAATATCAACACATCTTCACCGCCATTTATCAGCTGAAAAAGATGTCACAAAGTTTTAAGCACCCTGCACTACAGTCGTTTTGGACTTAATGATTTTAAAGGTCTTTTCCAACCTAAATCATTCTATGATGTTCCTAATTTCTTATTTTGTTCTACCTTTGAGTATGCAAAGACTGTCTAGCTAAAAAAAAAATCCCCAAATTTGTGGGATGTGGCTTACCAAGTGCACATGTCAAAACAATATCCACAACAAACTTCTGCTCTTATCTACATAAGTGCAAATCTGGAATAACTCACCAAGGAGTGAGCTAATGCAAGGTGAATCTGAAGTTTAATTTCTACGTAGCTCTGTGTTTACCTAGGACAGTATGCCATCCTTATTATTCCTACCATCTCAATGTTTGTTTGAAGTTAATTATTACCCTCACCTCCTATTGTGAGGCCAGGATGCATTATTATCTCTGTTTTACAGATAGGGACTTGAGGTGCAGAGATTAAATCTTCCATGCTACCTCACACAAAAAACCCGTGGCTCACCCAGAATTTAACCAACCTCTTCTGTGCCCTTGCTCAGCATCGCAAGCAAAGGATGATTCTTCCCAACCTACGAATATTTGGCAGGTGGGTCTTGACATTGTCGGTGTCATGCCAGCACTTCCATTTAACAGAAAACTGGTGTACGTGATAAATATTTGATTTTGCTGCAAGTGCACTGCTAATCTCAAAAGGTTTCAGAGCAGAGGTGGATGCTGGCAGCCCGGTCTCAGCAGATCTCAGAAGAGTTTTGCTGTAATGCTGTTTTGAACCCACATGGGAAGAACCCCCCTTAGGGACATGGTTTAGCGGTGGAATGGCAGTGTTAGGCTAACGGTTTGACTTGATGATCTAAAAGGTCTTTTCCAACCTAAACGATTCTGTGATTCTATGATTTTACACTGAATAGACCTACTGCCAGCGCTGCTCTGTGAGCTTGCGTGGAGCTGGGGAAGGCCAGTAGTCCTGTCTTCTCTCCATCACTTTCCTTTTGAGCATAATGCACTCTCAATGAGGATGAAAATCAACTCCCATAAACCCTTCCTAGCACCGAATACATCCTGGCAGCACAACAGCTGTACGTATTTTATGAGTAAGGCACTTGACATATCCAAGTCTGTACATGACATGAAATCCTAGCATACTGAATTCAAGGGTAGAAATAAAGGTTGGTGGAGCTGTGGAGAAATGGGAAAGCAGCAAGAGCAGGAATAAAATTAGTCTCCCAGAATGAAAAGTCAAGAAACATTTTATTACATTTTCCAGGGTTTCAACATTTCAGATTTTGAATTTACAACTTTTCTGATTGTGTTTTCCCTTTTTCTTGCTTACTTTTACTTTGACAATTGGATGGAGTGAATTATTAATTCAGTCTTTCCTGCAATTACTATTTCTCATTTATCTTTGGGTTTTTTAAATGTTTCTGCTTGTGACTTTTCAAAATAGACATTTTCTGGACAATCCACAGTACAGAAAAGAAGTTTTTAAAGGGCAAGTGCTAGGGAAGGAGGAAGAAGACAGTACAGGGACCCAGATAGCATTAATTTCATTGCACTCAATGGCAAAAAAAAAAGGGGGGGGGGGGAAATATGAGATTTAAAAATTTTGCAAAATGTTGGAAAATTGGCCTAACTTCTTAATATTGATGTCTGGAATACTATGCTCTTAGGACATTTCACATACAAAATACTAAAAAAAATCCACACCAAGCCCTCTGGGAAGGTATATGCTATGCCACTTTCTATTAAGTTGTTCACCACATGCCCAGAGTTGTTTTCCACTTGTGTACATTTTGCACAGAAGAGAGGGAAGACGGCTCTTTCTACGTTCCCCCAGAGTTACACTCTTATGTCAAATCCAGACCGAATCTGTACCAGTATTGCTTGATATTTTATCGTATCAAGTCAAACTGACCCCTCATCCTTTCATGTACCTATCGCTGATGAATGAGGAAGAAATACCAGGAGATAGTGAACTTGTCAAACATGACGCTGCATGGCATGCTTGCTATATACTGACTATGAGGAACCACAAATTGAAGCAGATGATGTTGCATCCACACAGGAAGAGCTAAAAAGGGACAAGGTCATCATCGTAAACGCAAAGAAGAAGACATCACCCCCTTTCCCCAAGTTATCCACTTTTAAATGTGATTTGTGAAGGGCACCCAAACATTGACCCAAGCAGATAAAATGATGTCCCTCTAAAAGCAGAAAAGAGAAGTATCCAGTGTTAGCCAAAGTTCTCAGTGAACATCATGTGTTCTGTGATGGGGGGGGGGGGGACCCAAAAAAAAAAAAAAAAAGAAAAACAAACAAACAAACAAAACAAACACCAAAAAACCCAGCAGCATTTTCTTCCACTAAAGTACATTTTCAATGAGTTAAGAACTCTATGGAAGTATAATGAAGGTTGGTCAGTATCGGAGCCGCTGCTGATGCTCCAGAATACTATAGATAATAGAAAACTCTGCTGCCACATTGATCTGGTTCAAAAGTAAATTCTGCTTTCCCTTTTGTAATAATGTTTGCACTGATAGGCACTGTTCTTCCAGGAATCAAAAAAGCATGCTTGTAATGAGAAAAAGTGCCCTAAGGAACCTTTCAGGTCAGTAAACATCATTACTAGCACTCTACAGACACGGGGACCAAGGATATGAGAAAAAGTGAGTAGCCAGATCGGGAATGTTCAAGGCGTTTTATGAAAGTACTCTTGCGCAATGGTGCTCCTTTATCTGTAGGCACTTTCTAAAACATGCAAATATGATCAGTTTATCCCTTACTTCCAAGTAAACAGGAATAAGCTACAATATAATTCCCGTGGGTAAAAGAAAACACAAGAGTAGTTGAGGCATGCTGTACGCTCATACTCTATCTTGTCTTAGGTTGACATGCCCCATCCAGAGGCACAGAAGAAGTTACACCACTTGCTTAAGGTCTCAAAGTACATCTCCGTTGTCTACGGAGAAACTGTCCTGGCTCCATGGCAAGTTCCAACCATTTGGCTACACTGTTCCCTTCATATTGGATTCCCATTCAAGAGCCATTCAAACTTCACTATTAGTACCCGTTTCTAACAAATCATAATTACCTACCTGTAATTTCTTATGTCTTTTTAAAACAGATCATCATCTTCCCCTCCTACATCAAACTAGGAGTGCTCCCTCCCCCCAGCAAATTCCTGCAGGACTCATGATGTAAATGTCACATTTAGTTCATTTAGATTTTCATCATGCTGTCAGCTTGAAAATGTGATATGACACTTTATCTTTGTGCTATTATAGGTCAGTAACAAAATGTACTTAAATTGAGAAAAATCTAAAAATTTTGTCTGATGAGAAAGTAAAAACCTACAAGAAGCTGTGGTAGAAGGGGAAAAATCTAAAAGCACAAAGGCACAAGGACTGTTTGAATTATGTAAATCAAAGGCTTGTAATTGATATTGCGTGTTAAAATGCTTCAGTCAAATTGAAAAGGTTGAAGTGGATTCCATTAAAGGTTATCCATGTAGACTGAAGTTTTATTTTCTTAATTAGAAGTTTTTCCTCTTTGTTGCTGTGGAACAAAATCTCAGCAGGGTTTAGTTTTGTTCATACCAAAACTAGAGCTTATCTCTGTTTTCTTTGTGAAGATGTCTCTTCAAAAAAAACCAAAAAAAAATGCACGTTGTAAAGTAAAGAAAAATACTCCTTGGACTCTGATCCTGCCTGGACTTTTTACCGTATTCAACTTTACCCACTTATTAATCTCACTGAACTATTAACATAATTACAGTTAAATGCACGAGCATGTGTAAGTTGAAGACTTCATTTATCACACACACTATATATCAAATCCTAATTGCAGAGAAGTCAATTAGGTATTTTCCTAGTAACTTTATTGGCATAGAGATTTGTCCACAAACCATTCTGTGGAATTTACTGGGTCAGACTCTGAATCTAGCTAGCTAAAGCTTAGAGTAGCTCTACTGACTCTCACAGAAATGCTCTGGAACAAAAGAAACAAAAGAAACTAGTACCTAGAATTGTTGCATGGTTATGTGCTAAAAAAATGGTCTACAATGCTATCTAGACAAATCCATAGAGGTAAGAGCTTCTTATGTGGCAAAACCATGCCTTGATATGGCAAGTTTGGTGTGTAAATGGCATCCTAAATTGCAGTACAGGAAAATGAAGGTTTATGTAACTCTGAGATTTCCATGCTACATCATCTACAAATAGACATCTCTGTATCACCATGCTAACACTCATGTTTTCCTTCCACTAGTTATACAGATGGCCTTACAAAATTAGATTAAACTCTCCAAAACGTCTGCTAAAATATTCATTATTTGTGATACCGTTTAAAATTCTGAAGCGATGATGCCATTATATCCCATTGGTATGAAGAGCAGAAAAAGCAACCTCAAAATACTAGTGTGTTAAAAAGACATCGCATGAGTGATTAACATACGAACCCTTCGCTTACCTCTGTCATTACCATGTCCTGGCATTTTTTCACGTATTTGCCATCTGCTTTCACAATGGTCTGCAGGAAACGCAGGTACTCCACGTGACGGCCATGGGTCTCAATGCAGTGCACAAAGTGCTGCACCACTCTTTCACTAATTTCATTACACAGAAGGTAATTATTCATGAAGATGTGCCGCATGGTTTCAGCTTCCAGGAGCTAAACAGATTGAAATCAAACCAGCCTTATCAGACGATCAGATTGGTTTTGAGATTGAAAGATTCACAGGGCTGTAGACTAGAGAAAGGCACATTGGTAAAGGGAAATTGGAGAAGTCCAATGTGCATCAGCCCAGCAATTAAGCGGTGACCTTAGGGCCTAGCTTTCATTTACGATGGGATTTCCCCACACTTTCCTACAAGTACAAAATGGTCCTAAAGTGGGCATAAACAAAATCTGTGCCCACGTGGAAGATAAAGAGACACACATACACATGCCACACTGCTAGAGCACTCTATAGGGACTTTGGTATACAAGACAACTGAGACCACATTCATCCCACTCACCATCAAACTTCGCATTGAGGCAACCACATAAGATGGCTGGCTACCTCTGGCTCCCTCTATGCTTGACAGAGGCAGGGATTTCCAGCAGGCAAATAATTGCACGTGCCATCTGATCACTCTCTGAGAGAACATCTCTTTCCACATTAACTACAGAGGGAGCCTAAGGCTAAGTCTCTACTGGTGAGTAGCACAGTACAAGAGGAACAGACCTGTAGCAAGAAAGGGATGCTGCTGAGGATCCAGCATCCACACTTTATGCATTCTGGGAGCTTTTGCTTCAAACGTCCTCTAGTTTGGTCCCTTGGACTAAAGGCTCATGAGAGTCAGGTGTGCTCCTAGAGTATACCTTTCTGTTCAGTGTCATCTGAAAGGAATCCACACCACGTTTGCTCCATAATGTGAACAAAAGCACAATAACTGGCACGATCAAAAGATCAGCTTCCAAAGAACAGAAATGCAAGTGCAAGCAGGCTCCATATTTGGCATCTGAGTTAAGTGTCAGTGTTGGATAGGATGGAGTCTGGGCACTAGTTCCCCCTGTGGTCCAGTTCAGTGCCTTTCACTAACTTCACAAAAAAAGCATAAATAGAAAATAACAGAACAAATGCTTCCTCATGTACACAGGCCAGGGGGCTACAATCCTAATAGTCACCCTCTTTCTAATAAAAGCAAATTCTGCTCAGTAGATCTGCCACTGAGCAAGGTGTCATTCTATAGGACTGTATCTGCAAACACCACATACATATGTACACTTAATTTTCAATTAAAAAAAAAGGGACTGTGACAGAGAGTTTTATTGTAAACACAATGATTTAATAGAAGGTCAAATTTTAGATTATTTGAATCAAATGGAAGCATCACCAACAAAAACGTATGGGTCTGATTCTGCTATCACACATGCTTCATGAGAGAACAGTCACAGCATCTTCTACCCTGACTTATAGCCCATCTGCGAGTGAGTTCGGATGAATAAGATCAGAGTCAAGCTGATGATGTGACCCATGTTCATAGAGCTTTTCAGTAAAGCACTCAGGTGATACTGTTTTCCACTTTTAAAACTGCAACATTAAAATCACTGACGTAAAGAGAGAGAAGACAAGGAGAGAGAAGAGAAAGCAACGCGGGCATAATTTAGTGAAATTATTTATTTAGCACTGTCATTTTTCAGCAAGTCCAAATTTACTTCCGATTATAATATCCTCCTTAAAATGAAATACTCACCCCTGGAGTTAAGAACAAGTTGAGATTTTTGTGGAGGAGAACTTGATTCTGAGGATTTCCTCGACAGAAATTCTGAAGAAAAGTGTGGGCTAAATTCATAACTTCATTCATCTTCTCATCGCTCTGCAGAAAGAAAAGACAAACTCATCAGCTGGGAGTACCTAAACATACTTGCTAAAGCTGCACAACATGAATTCAGCTAGGAACAAAGCAATTCTCCTAAGCCTTTTATAGGGCAGGAATTATCCCTCTAGCACAAGCAACTGATCCGGTTTTCTTCAGGCTATACCTTATTCTGAATCCACTTGACCACAGGGAGTCACAGAGGTACGGGCACAAACTCAAAGTAAGATTTCCTTGTGCATGGTTATAATTTCCTTGTTAAAAAAAGCGCCAAGTGGCTTGATTTTCAAAAAAAGCTCTCTAGCCTGCATTGCCTTTAAGCTTTTGAAAGCTTTGGCTTTTATATGGCTATGTATAGGAACAGATGTATGTGTGCATGTGTGTGCACACCTACAGGCATACATATGTTCATACACATACTCCTCCACAAATATATGTCTAGTTTCATACCCATTTCATATTCCTCTCATATAGTATTCTAACTATGATTTGATGAACCATCTATATGGACAAGCACTATTCTACTGAAGACAGCTGAACCCAGTGTCTGTATCACATCATTAGCATACAACACTCAGGAAAACGTAGCCCAGAAGAGGTTTTACCTCCTCTCAATGCTTCCTATAAGATCTAGAAAGATGTGTTCTTTAAAAGGCTAACTAGATCATTCATTTGTACGTTCAATGCCACTAAATCAGTACAAAAATCACATTATCTTCTGAAAAACTTGCAAGTGGAACTGGGTTAGAGGCTTCCACCACAGAAACAAAGAAATTATTTCAGACTTGATCTCTGAAAGCTTTTTGTCCAACTTCTGAATCTATGATAGCACTCACATCAGTACCCAACAGTGGAATTTAGATGCCCTGCCACAAGCTCCATTAAATCAATACTCCTTACTGTGCAGTGGCTGCAGATCTAAGGTTTGCCTATTTCAGGAATGGGATGACAGCGCAGTGACATCCAGGTACCTCAGGCAGTAAACATTAAATTCTTAATGAAACCTGCTCTATGCATGCAGCCATATTTAAAATTAGGCCCAAACCCATTATTCTTAAGGTAGAAAATGGCATTGCCATTTCATGTTTGTACCACAGTTCACTGAATTCAGTTTTTAAAAAAAAATATCATATTGATTCTTGGGCCTTTTGAGGCCTTTCCCTTTATTGAGTTCATGTTCTTTACCACTAAAATTATGAGAATAACCTTTTCATAGGGTATCTGCAGAAGGTCCAAGACTACCAAGTGGGCGCCCATATTTTTCAGCAATCGCTGCTGTTGATTCCGACATTTTTTATTCTGAACACAAAGTTTGCTGAGGCGAATCAAAATCTGTGAGTAAACAAACAAAGAAATAAGCATGCAAGCAAGCAAAGAACCAGTCATGTCACACAAAAACAAACAAAAATACATTCTTTCAAAATAATTACAAAATCTACTTATCAAATAAGTACGTCAAGCAAGTTTCTTAGTAGATATACCAACCTCTTTAACAATATTGTAGTTATTGCTTTTATTGCTGTCTATCTGGGGTTTTTTGGTCCCATCCTGTATTGGACTCAAAATATTTGACTCCTGTAACAAAGAACACACAACAAGTGGAGATCTATTGCAATTTCCTCAACATGAACTAATTATATTTAAAAACAGCAAGTGAAGAAGTATTACAGCAGCTCATAGGGAACAGATACAACACAGATAATAAAGAAAAATACTCATTTGTTCTTTATCCACCAGTCCAGTGAGTGAGAAGATTCACATTCAAGTCCTTCCTTTGTTTCAAATTTCCAACATGATTTGAGGCAGTTACCCTATGCATTCATGCTTCTGATCCTCCTAAGAAAGAATATGTCCCTACCACAGACTAGAGGTCCCAAGGAATTTAGATACTATGAGAATAGGGACCATAAGTGTATTTCAATGGCCACCACTTGTTCCAAAAATCTCTAATACAGCTGGAAAGATTACAAAGTCTGTGCATGTGAACATTAAAAAGTCTGGAGAAAGAGCTTAAGACAACCTCTGTATTTGAGATAAGTAGGGTGGAGTTCTCAGCAATACAGGAACAAGTAGCACGTGGAAATTAGAGATGTTTCTCCCAGGAAGAGGACACTTCTGTCCTTACCTCTGGATGATGCAGGAAAGGATTTAAAAACAAACGAGAACCTTATGTTAAACTGCAACATCCAGTCATGATGCCATATGCTCTGGGCCTTGGCTCTTAGAAAGTCCCAGCTGGGTATGATACATAAGATAAATCAAGTCAGCAAGTAACTGCCAATACCCACGCACCTTTCCATGCATATCTCAATCAAAAGACGGAAGAACGTCTACACAAATACTGCCACTTAGAATGCTGGCAGTGGATTTTTTTTCTGCTGCCAGCTATGGTAAGCCTTTCTTAGCTGGAAATACAAAGAACTGAAAGATTGGACTTTGGATGCTGAAATTATTAAGCAGATAGAAAAACTGTAGCAGATCTCGAGACTGCCTCACAGTATTACCACAAGGATGCAAACCAGTGTAACAGCATAAAAAAAAGAACCACACAGGTGCACTTCTGAGTTTCATTGCATCCTCAAACTTTCTACTGCTTTAGAGAAGAAAATTATGCTAAAACACACACGTGCACGCCAATCTGAATGTTTATACCTCTTGAAATCTCTCTCTGAACTTTCTTAGCTGACGGTGAAGATGAGGAGTTCTATAAATCCCATCTGGTCTTAATTTCCACTGGGGCAAGAACAGCTGCACCACTTGGCCATGGAAGCTGTTTATAACAGTGTCAGCACCGCTGTTCAGCGTGGCCATGTTGATCTATGCAACAACAGCGGATTTTTACTTGTTTGGGTTTGTTAGTATGCATGCTGCCTTCTCTCTAGCTGTTTGAATCAATACTTTGGAAGGTATTTCAGGCTCTTTGCTATAATTAACCACCCTCCTCTGTTCTGGGACTGTGGGTTAACCAAGATTAATTTACCTGTTACTTTTATCAGCATTCTTCCTCAATCAAAGTAGTTTTATAATCCATGTGAACTATATGTCTTATCTGGAAGTGCTGATCAGCATTAAACTGCTGAATCTATCCTTTCTCTTAACAAAATAAAAACCTGTTTATTGAACCCATAAGAGTATGCCAGGGATGTAGTTATCAAGAGATAATCACACCACAGGGACAGCAGAGACACTCAGTTGCATATCTTGCCTTGTTACGCCCCATGACAGACATTCTCTGTCACACTTTTCCATAGGGGATGGGGAGTCATAGAGATCGCACTGAGAAAGGTTCTCGTCTGAGCATCCCACCTTTAGGAAATGGTATTTTCTGAAACAGCCTACTTCCTCTATTCATAAAATTCCCGGGATATCACTCTGCATCGGTCGTAGGATCCTTTCTTTCTAGCCCCCCAATGGCAGGCCAGATTTCAGCCTTCAGCCCAGCAGCTCCCTGCCACTGGAACGGCCTCACCCATCTCAGCAGGACGGCTGTGCCAGGTACCAGTCAGCATCACACTGGCACAGCTTGCCTTCCACAGGCTGCATTTACTTCCCAGGGGAATGAGGGGCACTCTCGGAAGTTGCAGGTCACAGTCGCACCCTCTATATGATGTTCCAGGAGATATTTGTTTAAAGCACGCTGCCACAGATGAGAAAAGGAGGAGAGCAAGGGAACACCAGGCGCTTAAGGGTGCTGAAAGTTTACACCACTTGAAACCTCGCTGAACTTCCCTAGCGGATGGCAAAGATGAGAAGCTCTATAAACGCCACTGCACTGTATTCCAGCTTCACCCGAGAGTCCTTCCACTGGGACTGTCTATTTCTCCTCCTCTGATCCGTGTTTCTGGCACTACACCACCAAGGCATCCTCCAGTGACAGGGCAATGAAGACCACACTTCCCATAGTCCACAGTATCTATACAGACTCATAACACCCTTCCTAGAAATAACCAAGTGAACAGGCTTTATCTGTTTTTCCCTTCTCAAGCAAGGCTCAGTTACACGAGATCAGTTTCAGCATTCCATCCTAACCGTATGAGGTGTTTAATTCACAAAACTCTTTCCTATAATCCTGATGTCCGGTCCCCATCAAGATGATCCTGCATGGATGCAAGATTTGTTGTTTTTCCTGTGCAGAACTCTGAATACTTTATTTAGAAGAACGTGGCTTCTTTTTTTTTTTTTTTACAAATCCCATTTCTGGAGTCATATGACTGCCAAAAAAAAAAAAAGTAAGTCTCTAGCCCCATCAGGTTATTATAGAGAGCTGGAAACAATTATCCAAAAAGACTCAGAAGCCTAAAGGCAAAAAATATATTTGATTTTTTTAAAACCCTTGTATCAATCTTGCAATGTGCTTCAGTGAGGACAGAAACTTGGGCTTAACGTAAAACTGTTCTGGAATGTAATTTAAGCCCTTGTGCACACTTTAATGTTGTTTGGGAAAAATCAAGCACAGGCAAATGAAGCACATTCCCTAGAGGTTCATCCAGCTCAGTACTGAATAGCCAGCATCCATCCCAAGAAAGCACAGGATCTCACAGGGATGTTTATCGGCTTGAAGCTGGCCACCTGCCTCACACATTGTAGAACCTGCCTCACCTCCTATGTCTGACCTAAGATCTCAAAGAGAGTATTCACTATCTAAAGTAGTTTTGCCAGGTAAAAACACTTCCTGACTGTTAAAGAAAAATGTAACAGGGGGAAAAAAAAAAAAAAAAACGGACAAGATCCTGAGCTACTATAACCTGGTGCAGCTCTCATGGAATTACCGCCAGATGATCTAACCAGTTGTGCAGATTACATGTTACTGTTCTGATACAATACTCTCTCAGATCTGCCAGAGATAACACTGTGCATCTACTGAAGCACTGATAATCCATACAGATCCATGGAAGCCTCATGGGAAAAAAACACTGAAAATATCCCATTTAGAGATGCTTCTGTTTCAAGCACATTGTTTTGTCCCCGCTTCCTGGAGTTTCTTGGCCATCAGGGTGATCCATAGGGAATAAAAAGGATCTTACTACACTTCCAAATGTATTTTAGCTAAAAAACATTGGAAAGATCCTGCTGCAATTCTGTATCCTGTCTCCCCATTACCTTTTCTATTCATTAAATATATAAAGGAGCTTTTTCTTTCCTACTAGAGCTACACTTGAGGAAAGTAAGAAATCCCACATACTTAAGCTCATGAAGTCCAGATTCCTCCCCAGTTCTGACACCACTAAATTCAGCAAAGTTGTATCAGAGAAAGAGTAGGACCTACACTGTTTCAAGAAATCAGGATTCTCCCTTGAATTGTTGGATTTCCCCTCTGCATGAAACCACCTAAAATCTGCTTTCCCATCTGAAAGGCCAAGTGCACATCACACATATCTGCCAACATCCTGCATCTTCTCAATGGCTGTTACTTTTCCTCAGTGCACTGGCTTCACAGTGCTGTGTAATCTCCACTTGCCTTCCTCCTCAAACTTCCCCTGATGGCTTCCTTGACCATTTCCTTTCCATTAGGGGAAGCTCTACCATGGAAGAGAATAAGGAAGATGCTGTGTCAGAAATTGCAGTTCTTCATCTCTCCCCACTTCCTCTGATGAAAATGGAAAAGTGGGAATAAATATTGGTGGGAAAGCCTGCTTTATCAACTATTATGCCCCAAACCTCAACCATAGCAACTCTTGCAACACTTCACATTTTCTTAAAGACTCACACAGGAGTTAGGTGATTACATGAGGACCTCAGCTTTCACCAGAAGCAAAATTTAAAATTGAAATTAATTTAAAAAAAAAAAATCAGATCTTCATGGTTCCAGATTGAAATTCTAAAGTTTCTCAGATCATGATATACCCTGAGAGTGTGGGGTGGCAAGAGTCAAAAAAAAAGAAGGTTTGTTTGCCTACAAAATCTCAATATTGTGAGGTCAGTCTTATGTTTGGTGGAGAGTGGATTACTTGTGATGTTTCAAAAGATGGGTTTGATTGTGCTCCTCTCCCCTAGTTGCAGGAACAGGTATGGCCTACTCCTTTCTTCCAGCAAGTCAACACAACTGCCAGCATGTGATCCCTAGATTACTTCCTTGGCCACAGAGTGACACCATACACTGTGGCTTGCTCGCTAGCCTGGAAGGAAGGCAGCTCTGTGACATAAGAATGCAGTCACTGAAAGCAGCCAGAATAACTGCACATTCTCACTTTGCTACTTTGATTAACCAGACCACAAATTTGCAGTTGTTCATTAAACTACCTATCAATATTGAAACAATTCTAGCAGCAAAGGCTTTAAACCCACCTCCATTGGCTCTTCTCCCCCTTTGGTTTGATTGTCGCCCACCTCTCCACTCTCATAATTGCTGCTCTTCTCAACCCACAATTCTGATTTTTCCACAGTCAGACGTAGCTGATCAAGATCAGCCTTGATTTGCTTGTAGTTATCAACATCTTGATTAGATACCAGCAACTGAACCTGGAAATACAGAAAATTGTGAAGCTATTACAACAGTAGCACCAGCACTTACGCCTGGGTAATTTGCTCGACAGTTTCCATGCTAAGCTTCTCTTTTCAGATACTTTATGTAACATTCCCTATGAAACCGAAACACGGCACACGCAGGCTTATTAGCCCCCATTCATCAAAAACCTTCAACAGAGCCAGAGAGTGTAGTTGCCCAAAACAAGATGGTATAACATGCGTAACATGCTCTTGCCTTCTTCAATACACTGCGAAACATTTTCAGCACAAGCACAGATTTACAAGCTCTTGAGTTCTATTCAGAGTTAGCTCTCATGCAACGATTGTGATCCTCATGGTATTAAAAGAATACAGTTACATGGTAATAAAACAATACAGTTAGAAATAGCTTATCCCATCAGCACAGTACTTGACAAGGAAAAAAACCCAAAACAAACAAATGAAAAAAACCATGATATGACAAGGTATCAGGACATCCCAAGAGAAGTCAGAATGGGCAGCAACTTTACTAATCAACTACATCATCACAATCAAATATTGAAAAATAACAGATTTTCAACACTGCAAGGCCAGCTTAGAAAACTTGTTTGAATAGAGCTCACAAACCGACTTTCAAGTTCATATAATTTCCCATTATCTGAATGGTTGCTTCTACTAAGAAGAATCTCACTTCTTTTTCTTTTTTTGCACTGCTCAAAATTATCTGGGGTTTCTTCCACTGTTATTTGTAGTTCTTGATTTAGCATGATCTACACATTTCCTTTCTTTGTAATGCTCTTTGCTTTCCCAAGATTATTAATGAAGATAATATACAAAAAACCTAACAACTATCTTTACAGCAAATCAATAAGCACTATTAAGAAATGTCACTTATGTAAAAAATTATGGTCATGTGGCAGATGATAAGAACACTGATAGGGATGTTCTTTTTAAAAAAAAATCACTACTTGCAGGTAAATATTCACTATTTTGTAATACAAAGTTTTCATCATCTTCTCTCTTAGCTTATTAAAACCTTGTTATTTTACAGAATTTATGTAAGCTGCTCATCCACAGACATTCATATTCCATGTTCTCTACAGTCTTTTTTGTTTACTTCTCGACTGGCCTTTTCCTTCCTTTATGAAAATGTACTAAGCAACTCAACCCTTGCTTACCTGCTTACCTTACTGGGAATAACAGCTGTTTATGCAACTAACCAGCATGGCCTAACCTTAGCAATCTGGTTGGAGGCCACTACGCTGCACTGCAAAAACATTAAACAAAAGCTCTGCAGGTCTTTATCACTCATCTGTTTTTAAACAAGAGAAACCTCCACGTCTTACATAACGATGAGACAACATGCTACCAAACTCCTGAAATAAGCATCAGATGGTCTTATCAACATATGTTATAGAGGGTTACGTAACAGAGATGTCTCTGTCATCCAGCCCCATGACATCAGATCTCCCCATCCTAATCCACTGACACATGGAGCCTGCACATGCACCGTTATCAAGCAGAAAGAATACAAGCTGAAAACAGGCTTGGCTCTATTACTCCCTTCCTGTTATTTGAGCATGTCTGTATCCTGCAGTGGAGCACAACGCAAAGACAGCTGAATTAGATCTAGAAACACCACATGAATAACAAGCTTTATAACCAGCCTAAGTAGCCCTAAAGACAGGAAAGCCTTACTGCCGACACTGGTATGCTGCTTGCAGAACACAAGCTAACAGCTCTGTCTCGGAGGGATGGCTACATCATGTCTTGCCGTGAGATGTCTGTGTCCCAGCTGTCACCACGGACCTACGTTTTCAGTAACAAATGCAACACCAGAAATAATTATTTCTGGGGGCACAACTATAACATACATGTGTTCAACTCGAATGAAAAAAAAAAAAAATCCCTGTTGAACGTGGAGCTTTAAGGAAATGACACTGTCACGCTACGAACAGCAATTTAGGCAAGTGAAGTAGCCTTTGGAAAGACTTTCCCCACAGTCAGTTTCCTGGAATAAAGCTATGCCCATACCTGTTTAAATGCTTGCAGAACCTCTGCTCTCTGGCTGAAGTGCTTAAATAAGAGGTGCAGAGCACCGGAGAGCAAAGGAGGGTAGTCATGCATGATGAGGTGAATAAGGACCCGTAAAAACGTTCTGCCCCCAAGGACCAAATAAAGTAAAATAAATAAGAAAAAATAAAAGCTTTTGACATAAATATGCCTGTACATACAACTTTCATTTGACAGAGCCCTTAAAACCAAATCAAATACGCTGCAGGATCAAAACTATAAACATCACTTTAACCATCTTATGAGGACGTTAATCCTAGTTATATGCTGTTGCAGTAATCTTGTAGCAGAATGGACACTACAGAATAAAAGCAAGTTGTATGAAATGTGTCAAATATTGTGATTAAAATCCCTATTGCAAAAACATTCATTTATGGCTTGGATAAATTGTGCCAAGCTCATCCCCAATCCAAATTAATTGAAGTAAACAGTATTTCATCAGAGATTAATTTGGCCCTTTCCTTTTCACTCCTTCCCTTTTCAGCTGCTATTAAAATTTCATTTAAGAAAAAATAAGCTCAAAAATCTTAAGAATTGCCAAAAGCATTATATTTCTGGAATCATATTTATAATCTGGAACAGCAGAAAGCAGATTTACACTTAACGTATCAAAGCAGAAATAATGTTTCCAAGAAACCATTCAGTCTCTCTGTTCATTTTAAAAACGCAGATGCCAAGGGCTGTGTGTTGTTTTACATTATGGGAGTTCAGGGAGAGGACTGGAGGCATTGCTCTCACTGGTAAAGATTGAGAACGCATAAGGGACCGAGAGAGGAAAGATAAGAACGCCCATACTGAGGATCCTTCTCCCTAGCTCCAAGAAAAAATTGAAAGTCTACAGCCTGGTCTAAATGGAATTCATTTTTACTGGTATAATTATAATTATACCCGTAAAATTAAACCAATATAGTGATCATGATAATAACTCTCCAGTGTGGATATTTTCTGTGGGTTTTTTTTTTCTTTTCTTTTCTGTTCACAGCGTAGCAGAAAACACTTCTAAAACTCTGCAAGCATAACTTGTGATCTACAGGCCTCTGGTGGTCCAGAAGATCATGGCAAGTGGTCCACAGCTGATTTGAGGAATCATATGGAAGAGATTATGGTTGACATAACTTTCTTGACAAGTTGTAATGACAACTGGTCATGTAATCTGGTCAACAGTAACCTACTGATCCAAGAAATGTGGGGCTACAGCTATAAGGTACACCAAGAAAAGGTCTTTCTTCTACCAAGTCTTACAACTAAGAGGGGAGTCATTTCCCATCCCACAGCCATCCATACCCACTAGGCTGTTTGCTGGTTTGAAGTGCAGGTCTTTTCTGGCACTTTTCTGCCTATCTAGTAAGTAGTCATCAAAGGAAGAGAAAGAGGTATGAAAATGTACATGGAATAAACAGATTGTCCGTGAGAAATATCAACGTGAACGAAGAGATGAATAGAAAGATAAAACTTCAGGTAACATACCTGCCAGCAAACATGGTTTCAGCCTGGGCTGCAATTTCATCTATGTCAGGAACAATTGCTGGAAAACAATCAAATAAAAATAAAATTTTAAAAGCCAGTGATAATTGTCTAATCTGCACAGCAAAAACGAACTCTGTTCCTCTTTAAAGTAGATGTTACCAAGTAAAAGTCTAACTACGCATTCCTCAGCTCAGCACAATTCCCTGTCTGAAAGAGCAGTAGGGAAGAAACAGGACATGGGGCAGAGTTGAATTGTGTATTACTATTACCAAAGAAGAGCCAAGTTGTAATGATGAACGAGAGCCCTGTGGTGCCAGGAGCTGTATAAACCACCACCAGTGACCCATAAATGACAAAGAATATGAAACTTTTTTTTTTTTAGATGAGCCAACCCCCACAAAGCAGCTAAGACACATGAACTTCAGAATATTTATCATAAGCCAAATCATTTACCACACCATCATTTTTACTTTAGAATAGCTTTAATGTACCCTACTACTTAAGACTTCAGTATTTCTTAGCCACCCCCCTGTTATACAGCACCTCCAATTAAAGCAATTCTCCCCTACTTGAAGGTGGTCACAGAGGTGTCAGCCTCCAGAGCACTTCTGTGTGCACGGGAACATGCCCTGCAAAGCCACTCCATCCCTGTACCACATTCACCTCACTTAAATCTGTCCTCATCCAAGCCCAATAATTTTTTCATGGTCTACCCTCCACTATATTTGTCATCATGCAGTGTTTTGGCAAGAGTACAAATAAAATAATAAATTCCCATCATGGGAAAAAGGAATCACATTTTTGCTAGAGGAGGACAGACCAGCAAAAATCTTATTTTTATGGGATTCCTTAAGATTTTCATTTTTCCACGAGCTTCTCAACTTTAAGTGGCTTGCATCTTTCTGATGTAGTTGAGGTCATTGCTTGCAGTAGCCTACACAATTATTTTACATTGCAATACAAAAGCGACATTTACCTGAGGCAATCCCTGGTGTGTCAGGTGGAGACGTTGTAGAGCTATCAACATTTTCATTGTTTTCCCCAAACTCCCTCTTATAGATAGACAGCATGTAGGATATTCTATAGTCCAGTCTAACACTGAGAATAAACTACAAGAAAAAAGTTTAAAATAAGACTTTTCTTCTGCCTTTGGTAACACAGGTTAGGATTTTTCTGCGGTGGAATGTATAGAGATAAATGATTATTTTAAGTACGTATGTCCACTACAAAAAAAGAATCCATTACATTCATCAGTTTTCTGTGATTTCTTTCTTCCCTCTGACCATCCTGAGACTTAATTGAACTCCTAGAGAGAGACCAGAGGAGGGCAACAAAGATGATGAGGGGACTGGAGCATCTCCCCTGTGAGGAAAGGCTGAGAGAGCTGGGCTTGTTCAGCCTGAAGAAGAGAAGACTGAGAGGGGATCTCATCAACATGTACAAATATCTTAAGGGTGGATGTCATGAGAATGGAGCCAGACTCTTCTCGGTGATGCCCAGCGACAGGACAAGGGGCAATAGGCACAAACTGAAGCATAAGAGGTTTCAGTTGAATATGAGGAAGAACTTCTTTACTTTGAGGGTGACAGAGCACTGGAACAGGCTGCCCAGGGGGGTTGTGGAGTCTCCTTCTTTGGAGATATTCAAAACCCTCCTGAATGATGTCCTGTGCAACCTGCTCTAAGTGAACCTGCTTTAGCAGGGGGGTTGGACTAGATGATCTCCCGAGGTCCCTTCCAACCCCAACCATTCTGTGATTCTGTGACTGCTGAACACTTAGCAGCAGACTGGATTTGTCTGGGGGATCCAACACGCTGCCTTGTCCTCACTGCCTGCGAGCCAGATCAGTACATTCAAACTCATGTTGAACCTGATTATTTTGTATTTCAGCTGGACTTCTAATGCCCCATGGAGATATGAAGTGGAGCGGGGTTGTGAGTAAAGACAACAGGCTCAAGGCTCGCCCTCTTACATGAGGTCTGACAGCCAAGGGCAGCAGTGCTGCAGTAACTCCAGGCTCCCATGAAGTAAAGCACGAGCCTGGTGGTGTCTTTTTTTACATTGCTCGCCATCAACAGAGGATGTGAGGAGCAAACAGCATGTCCTTCATGAGCTCCTAGTAGCATTGCCAGCATGTGTCAAAAAAAAAAAGCAGCTTGGCTTTGGAAGCTGCCACTGTAATGGTAGCAGAGATTCCCCCTCACTCAGTGCTCTGCTTTCTTCTAATTGTTGGTATCTTTTGCTCCTGAGGCTGTGAAACTTGAAACTCATACAGGAAAAATCCTAATTCAGACCTGGAAGTGCTGCTTTTATATTGGTATAGTGAGGAAAATAACTTGTCTGGAAACATCAGTACCAATTTAAGGACTGACACATGTCCATCTGACACTTCACCAACTGACTGCCCATCAACTGAGTTTGATCCTTATGCTCCTTGCCCACAGTAAATGCAAGCGTACAACGATAGAGGTTTATGATCATTTAACATATTTTACAATCAGGGAGGATGAAAGCACATACATTAAGTTACCAAGATCAGGCAAGAGGTGATGACTTAGCAAATGGTGGTGACCTGTTTCTTTGGTCTCTAACTAAAGTCAGACAAACTTCTCAGACCCAGAGTACTGGAATAGGATTTGACTAGGGTAACTAGGACTACACCATCTAAAAGCAAACAAAATGTCAATTTAAGAAACAGTATCCTTTCGTTAAAATCTTGTAACAAAAAAGAAAAAAGGCAGGTTTATTTTGGTTCCATGATCAAGTTACCCTATCATTGTACAAGCAAGATTTTTAAAAATAAAAATTTCCCAAGTCCTCACATAGTCAACTAAGTCTATCAGGTCATCTGTTTAATTCTGGCTGATGGCAGAATGGCAACCATTAAGTAAAAAATGTCTTTACTTAAAAGAATAAGAGGATATATTGAGAATTAAATTATTATAACTGAAATATTTCTTAGAATAGAATAGTTTTAATCACCACTGTACTAGCTTTGCATGATAATATAATAAATCTAAAATGTTCTTACTCGCCTTTTAGTGTAATAGCACCGTAATGAAAAGTAACGTGATTTAAATTAATCCTTCTTCATTGCATATTAAACGAAACCAAATTATTTTGTATTTCTTGTGAACTAAGGTTATATATACCCAACATATGACAATGTGCCAATCTGCAGTAATTTGACCACGTGACTAAACCACAACTAACAAGCCACAGATTAAGCAACAAATTAGGATTAAATGCTTTCCAATCCCAGGTGCTCTTGCACTGCACGTCCTGTGAAAAAGGAAAGGATGAGACAAAATGTGATTCTCCTGCCTGTGAGCAGGCAGGGAAGGCACAGGACAAGGTGAATGTACAGGACAAGGTTGGTGTCCTGGAATCATCCTCCTAGGCATCAAGCAGTAGAGCAAGACAGTATGGAGAGAAACTCAGTCAAAAAACAAATGAAAATGAGAAGCAATACATGTGATCGGTATTATTTAGGTGATATAACTTCCTAACACTCTGTCCTTCACCATAAGCCTTAAACTAAAGGAGCTCTGGAACCAAAGTATGCAGTACTGCAGATACTCTAACAATTGATAGTCTTTCAGAAGACAAGTAATTAAGGTAGTCTAAATAATTTATAAGCAGTCAGAACAAATGGAATCCTTCAAAAGTGACTATGGTACCAACAGATCCACAGGATTTATAGAAAACATTGAAACATTCCTTCAGGGCATAAGTATTGCAGAAACTGGGATTTGATATAGAGAACAAATGTGTGCCACTTCACTTACTAATAGCACAAAGTGAAAATTATATCTCAGGAGGCATGCTAGTGTCATAGAGCTTGTCAGTTCAGCTGGGAGAAAATCATAGCAGCCCACAGACTATTCTCAATCTAGCATTGGAAATCTGAAATGGACTTCAAAGGTACATGGCGTTGCATGACTTCTGTGGGTCTAGGTCCAATTCTGCCCTTCACCAAGCTACTGTAAAAGAAAAGTCAAATACTGGAGCCAAATAATCTACCCCTGTATAAAATGAGTGTTAATGAGACTGGAAACAGACACATTGTCTTCAGAAAACATTAGTGAGGCAGATTAAAGGACAAGCTCTGCCTTTTCACAGTTACAGTGACAGTTTCTACAGCATCTATTTCCTTCAGAAATGAAGTAGGCGTAACAGAGTGAGGATCACAACTGCACCATCGTTCACACAGAGGACCACTCTTCCTCATATCAAAGTCTTATTTCTACAATGATCAGCCTGGTGAATAGTAAGGATGCAGGTTACAGAACTTGCCACTATATGACTAAGTAAATAACCATGAAGTGGCTGCTATGTAATATTCCACCAATCATTATTACCTGCAAGATCTCAATGATTTTCAATTTGGTGTCCATTACGATCACATCTTCGCTGTCTGAGGCACTGGCTTGCTTGCTTGGGTGAATGCCTGGCTGTACATCAGGGGCACTGATGGGAAATACAGATCCTCTGCTCAGTACCATTTGGGTCATCATCTCTCCTACACCATGGATGGTCCTCATAACATTATTTCCTATGTATTAAACACAAACACATACATATTTGCCATCATTAAAGCTTGCTTGCAAAGATATATATCACACATACACCCATGTCACCAAACTCCTTCAGTCTATATTGAACAGGCATATGGAAAAATAAGTTCTCAATTCCTGATCAAAACTCAGGAGAAGGAATTCATTCAAATTACCCAATGGTTTGGGGACAATTTTCTACATTGATTTTCCAAGAGATCATTTCTTACAGGGCAACAGATGGAAAAGATGCCGAAAGCTTTCCACAGCTCTGTTAGTATGTTCAAGAAATCATAAAAAGTAGAGCAAAAGAAATCTCAGTACTTCACCTAATCCATTCCTTTGTCTGAAGGCATATTAACTACATCTAAAATAATTTCTGAAAGAGGTTTGCTTAAGCTGTTTTTAAGAATATTTAACTGTTGCATATCCCACATTATACAGCATTACTAGGCAAGCAATTCCAGTACTTGACTATATTTATTGTTAGAAAACTTCTATTGGTATTTTATTTATATCTTCTATCGCTGCAGTTTATGACCTTGCTTTGTAGAGACATGGGAGGAGTTCATTTTCCATGCCTACTCCCACTGATGTCTTTGCCGTGACAACTGGACACAATGTATGTGCTTGACAGTAAGGTTGCTTTTGGCACTGCAGAAGCTGGAAGGAGACTATCCAAGTACCTTGTATGTCAGACTAACAGTAAAGATTTGAGGCTCTGCAAGTCTGATCAATCTCTGTATGTGGTCCAAATGACAGGCCACAAACCAAAGCCAACTGACAAAACTAGCCAGCCATCCCCCTTCAAAAAAGTCCCAGGAGAATTCTTGTCAGGCTCTGAAGGTCAAACTAGTATCTGTATTCACAGTGCCCATGATAAGTCATACCCAGGGTAACTAATTATTTTACACTCATGGCAAAAAACTTTAGTCCAGTCTAGTTGCAATGGTACCTATCACTGATGCCAGTTCAGCAAAACCTACCAAGAAATACCATCTGTTCCCATAGATTATACTGGTTGGTCTTTATAGTGAATTTTAGTATGAAAAGCATCTTAGTGAATCAATTACTATCTTCTTCCAAAGGCAGGGAGAAGAAAGAATGAGCATATCATGCTACCTACCTACATGAATTAGTTTCCTTTCTTGCAAAGCACAGGTCTGAATGAGTGGAGGAAAGGAAAGGAAAGATAGCATCTCTTCGCAGAAAGAGTGCCAAGACCTAGACTACACCAAAGGCAAACAAAAGAATGGAGAAAATGTAGCTTTGCTGAGGTAAGCCTGAATAGTTCTTGTATGTCTTTCAGTACACTTTAATCACCATGCAACTGCCAAGTTTTACTCACACTGAAGAGACCCTCTTCCCAGATAATCTGCTGTAAAAAGCCAAAGCTTTATTTTATTTTGTTAGCAATATCCTCCTCTAATGCCCTTCTTTCGTCAATCCATGGAGCTCAAGTACTGCATGCAGGGAAA